GCTCGTAGGCGACGCCGAAGGTCCCGCCCGTGCCGCGGGCCGCGCGGGCGTAGGCCGCGTCGCGGGCCCGCTTCGTAGTCGGGCCGCGGGATCGAGGACGGGGCGCCGATGGCGGCGAGGCCCTCGATCTTGATCAGCGCGACGTCGCTCACGGAGGCGACGCCCCACTCGCGGTAGAGCCGTTGCTTCTGGATCGACTTCGCGTGGTCGAGGATCGTGGCGCCGGCCTCGATCCAGGTCCGCTCCGCGATCTTCTCGGCGGCCATGGCCAGGACCTCGTGGGCGCCCTTGCTCAGCTCGCCGAAGTAGCCCGCCACGAAGCCGACGACGGAGCCGAAGGAGCCGAGACGGCGCTCGAAGGGACGCGCCGGGTAGAACTTCTCGTCGAGCCTCTCGGCGTGCCGGTGGTACTCCCGGTCGACGAGGCCCGCGCGCTCGTCGCACGGCAATGAGGAAGTGGCGCGGACACGCGAGATGAGGATGTGGCTCAGGCTTTCTCCTCGACGACGAGGGGCGGGCCCTCCGCGGGGCGGCCACTCGACCCCACTCCCTTAAAATGTCCCAATCGATACGAACAGCGCGCTAGTTCGATGCTGCGGCGAGGCGGGGGGCATACAATTTTTATGCCTCGATTTCAGTCTGATGGTCGACCCGCGCGCGCGCGGTCGACGGAGGACCTCTGTGACATACTACGGCCGGCGGCCAGAAAGAACAATTAAATACAGCTATGGGGCGCTCTAGCCCTGCGGTTGTTTTCGGTCTTGTGGGCGATGAATTAAAAAGTGAGTTTGCTGGAGTACCGAGCGGAAACGTATGGTCGGGAGAGCACAGTAAAGGAATGCAATGGACTCAAGTTGATCTGAAGCCCACTCTCGTACCCAGTGAGCCCCCGGCGATGCTCGGATTGAAACGCCGCCGGAGATGCACCCAGCATATCCAGCATCGATGAAGAGCTACAGCCTCAAAACGTACCGCGCTGACATCATCCAGCTCAAGTAAGATTCTCCATACTCGCCGCTTTATGAGAATTTGCATCCGAAGATGCCTTTGAGTAACAGTGGAATTGATTTGAACAGGAATCCCAGACCATCTTACCTCCGCCACAGTACCACACTAATCGAAATCCAAAGCACCTCTCTTCCGCACTTCGACATTCTGATGATTCGGCGCGGCGGGGTATACGAAAGAACGGTGTCGCGGCCGAGGGTCGACAATCAATCAAATCTAGTTCAGCTTATGACCCGTGCTATGGGCGTTTGGGCCTAGAACTAAGTCTTGCATGCCCAGCTTATGTGAGAGACCGATGCATCCATTGGCCTTTCGTGGCGGCTAGGACAAGAGGGAATATACAAAATCCGTAGGCGAGGTAAAGCACCAACGTTCGTGACTTCGCCCTTCCTCTATGCGATTGGGGGCTTTTGTGCCGCGAGGCGTTTTTTGTACTTTTCCAGTCGTCGCTTCGCCGCGTCCTTTTTGGCTTTTTTGGCGAGTTTTTTGTTCAAGTGTTTTTGCTCGAGCGTCGTGCGAGGTCGATCCCAGAACCTAAAGGGAGGAGTCGGCTTTGTTGTGCACCAAATACGCATGCATTAGCGGCACCTGGCCTCGGTAGTCGGCTTTCCAGCTTGATTACGCCGTTCGTCTCTACGAAGTAACGCGTGCCGCCGGCGCTTCTCCCACTTTGTTTCGTTTTCACGCTTGATTCGAGCACTAGCGCGCAGTTTCATTTCTTCAACATGCTTGTCGTACTCACGAGCCTGTGGACTTTTGCAAATCATTTTGCACAAGAACTACCCCATCGAGGTCACAATGTGCGTGTAGATGATCCTCAATCCAATACTAGACTCTGGTAACCGCATCAGTTTCTGCGAGAGAGTTCATGCGTTTTTCAAATTCTGCGTCCTCTTTGTCCGACCGTTTCTGTGCTTGTTCGGAGAGTTTGTCTTCCTGCTCTGGCGTGAGCTCTGGTACGATCGACTTCCCCCCTTGCGCCCTAAGCCTTCGGTCCTCTTCGCACGCATAGATCCGAATGGCTCGTCTCAAAGCTGCCGCTAAGGCAAAGTAGCGCGCAACAAAGTCATGCCAATGGCCAATAGTCATCGGTGCTTCACGCTCTGAAGCCGCACGAGCAAGTATGGTCATCGCAACCTGATTTTAAGTGTAATAAATTTGCCAAGGGGAATGAATCATCAAAATTCCAGACAGCTCCCGAAGGGGACCCGGAGGATACATAAGCATCGTCTAACCGGGGCAAGACATGACGGTGGCTCGGCGGCAAGCCCACGATCAGTTTTGAGAGAGCCAAACGCAGGTTCAGAGTAAAAACCTAACGTAATGGCTATCGTGGGTCAAGACCACACTCATAATGACACAGATTTGACTTACCGGTCCCTCAGTCTCAATCAAACGTTCACGCAGCTTAATAGGGCGACGAAATTCGTCAACATTCGAAGCAACGTAGGCCTGCTGCATCAGGACCCTAAAGGCAGAGTTGCCATTCCCACGCCCCTCACCACCAATATACAAGCGAAGTGCCTCCACAGCAGGGTCAACATTCAGGAGGAACCATATGTTATCATGCACAAACCCAGGCGCTTTCGTTCGATCGAGATCTGCGAAGCCTTTAAATTCGCCAATTCGGCACGTCGATCCATGTGGGTGCTCGGCCATCGCAGAGGTCAACGGTGGCGACCTACACAGACAGCACGGTCTCTGGTGTTAACTGCAAAAACTTGAGGCACCAGGCATACGCATCGCATGAGCCAATCGCCTCCCAGGAGCCGTCGCCCTCGTAGCTGACAGCGCGCTCAGTTGTGATCTCGAGCACAATGTAGTGGCGTTCTGCACGACGTTCATGCACAAAATTCAGCTTGCCCATGGTCCCGACCCGCTGAAGTGCGAAACCAGGCTCCCCAACGCCAAATCGTGGAGCCACGGGTGGTATGGAGAGGGGACCGACGACAAGCTGTTCGAAGGGTGCAGAGAGAGGCGACCCGTCCTTTTTTTTTTCGGAAGCAAGAGTGAAGATGGTCCGCAACCCGGCACACCACGCCAGTGGTCCACCACCAACCCCACAAACGAGCTTGGCATCCCGACCACCTTTTGCCGTGCGCCACATTGCCTAGGAGCTGCAGTGCGCTCTCTAAAATCCTGGGTATATTGATACAACAATTTCAAACTCAATACGACGCTGGAAATAACTAGTCTCTCGACGAGCCAGACGAGATCCTTATTCCGAAACTCCCAGCGCGCACACGCCAGTACGTCGCGGCTGATGTCATCGTCAAGAAAAGGATCATGTCTTGGGATCGCAGGTTCCATCTCATCAGAAGACTCGCTTGATGCGTAGAGGGGTGGCGTGGCATCTGATTCGCTGGCAGCTTCCACATCATTGCCGTCTGACAACCCACTTGCGACATCGAGTGCCACTTCTTTGGGTCGTGGTCTGAAGAGCGCACACTCAACAACAACAACCATCACCGCGATTGAATTCTCTGACAAGGCTGCATCGAGTGTTTGCCGTTGCTCAGTCGAGAGAAGGCTTACATCGCATCGATGTCCCCTTGGAGTGACTTCCGACCTATGTCCACAATACCCGAGTCTGGCTGTTTGCTGTCTGGTTCGAATAGGTTTAGAATCAAGATGGGAGGCAAGGCGCTGGCTGCAGACGTGCGTTCATCATCGACACCATCACTCATGTCCAGAATAACAACTCCAATCGTACCTCCATGAAGTGTTATCAAACCGCCATCTGAACCATGGCCTTTGCCAGATCGATTTTCCCATCCCGAGTCCCAAAGCTGGCGCTCGTACCTGATTCACGCACGCAAGTCAGTATATGCTTGACAGATCATTTGACTAAAGACGCGGCAGCCACTCAAAGGAGACCCGCAGCGCGAGGTGAATAGCCTGAAGTACAGCAACACGCCACTCTTTGTCTGCATCTTCAACTTCAGTGTCCGGCACGATGGCCTCAGTAGCTTCAAAACGACGTCGATCACAGGCAGGAAGAGCTGACGCACTAGCGAGAAGTGTACGCGCGCAGCCCGTGAAAATATTAGTCGACGAAGCAAGTATGGCACGCATCGAGGGGGTGGAACAGGTCGCGCGATACTCATCTCGGAAGCGCTCTAGTACGTGATGCTCAAGCGCACGACGTGTCTTGGAATTCTGAGAGGAATTCTGGCCAATCTGTCTGGAATTGTTGTTGCGGTACAGGACAAGCGCGGTCTCTTGAACGGCCGCTACGAACGAAGCGCGAAATCCAATGTGAATCACCACATCGAGACCATTCCAGGGGGTCCCCAGCCGCTTCGCAACATCTGAGAGTATATCAGGCTCATCGGGGAGATGTTCTGTTGGCTTGTACCCACTTAAAATGCACATGTTGACATCTGCACCCGCACTGTCAGGTGTGTGAAAGCACGTTTGCATGCGTTCTTTCGCACTATTGATGCAAATACCTAATGAGTAGCGACGGCCGAGCCGTAGACCTGGTACTCGCAAGACACGCGCACGCCTGGCCGCTGCTATCAAATCCCTAGCATAGACTTCGCCGCTCAAGACATCTTCACAGATACATTCAACCTTGCAGACTGCGTCGACTTCGATTAGGACCGTCGCAGACGCGCGCGGGATGCCGCTTTCATCGTGTGTAAGTAGAAACGGGCCAATAATGGGCCCAGCGATGAGCACCGCTACGGTATCAGTCACTCCGCTTCGCGGCAATGCTGTGGCCACTATCCGAGACTCGAGTGGGTCGGCATATACCGCCGCGATGCCGTAGGACGCTGAGGCAATGCCCTTTGCCTGGTCGGCTGGAGGATTTGAAGAAACCTACGGGTGCCAGCTCAGATACCAGCGCTCCACATGCACGAACTTGAGCAATCAATGACTCAGGATGCCAGTAAAATTTATGTAAATGCACTTGCTCGAGAATCCCCCCCCCCCTGCTTGGTATTTGTGCGACAGCAGTGGGTGTGTGAATGAACTCGTAGCGATCGATAATTGTGAACGGCGGAGATACGACAAGTAGGTTTTCTTTATTGACCGGCGATGGCGACACACCAACGCACAGTTGCTCAAAACCACAGCCACTGACAACATCACGAATCTCTGTCCTGAAGCTCAATCGACAGCCGCCTAAGATTGATATTCTCAAATGAGGTGCATCGAAGCTCTCCCCAACATGGGCAAATACCGCAGAGAAGTTGTACACTCCTTGTTTGATACTTGCCCGCGGGGAAAGATAACCATTCAAAGAGAGTGTCGAGAAGGCGGAGAACCTCTAGATGTGATTCATACATGCGGGTTGCCTCGATGACAGCCCTATCAATATCAGCTGGTTGGTCAGAGTGTCCACCTTCCTGAGCCCACTGCACAGGCTCCGGGAAAAGCGGTCGATCACAGCAAATGACGAGTGCGACAACATGTTCGGCTCGCTGTGCACGTTCCAGAAGGGCCCACTGCGACGTCCGCAGTGGTCGATATGCAGCTGAAAGCGTATTGCGTGAATACGCGATCGTATCGTAATTGGCAGCTACAACTCGGGGGGGGGGCGTTGCATCTAGGATGAGGATTCCAATGCCACCAAAACGGCGGAAGCTGGACATCGTCGGCCGCATTGGCGCGTCTCGAGGCCCCGAAGTGACTGGTTTCTTCCTTCCTCCAACGCCACCACGGCGCGGTCGCTTCCGGCCTGTCCCTCCAGGTTCCCCAAGCTTGTATCCATCCGCGGTCACAGCCGCGAGCGCTGCGCGTTCATCAGCATAGGCCAATTCTGTTACCTGTAGCGGATCCATTTGTAACAAGGTGGTGTCAGCATCTTCAAAACCACCCCAACGAACGCAGAAACACATGCGTCTTGTTGCGATAAATCCCTGGCGCCGACGATTAACGCGCCTTGGTACCTTGATATAGACTGAAGTGAAAGCGCCGCTATTTTTCTCAACGCGTCAGTCAGGACTCGTTTGCGATTCGTGATGCACGTGTGCGTTCCAGCTTGCTCGTGTCCGACCATGTATCATCATCTTTATCATCGTCAGAAGTGGCATCCGACGCGGTGTCATCATGGATTTGATCTGAACCCGCTCCAACGAGCGCTACCTATCAACTGCAATCACATTCACCGCAAGGTCGGAGATATGGAAGGATTAAATGGCGCAAAGCTGGAGCCGAGAAGGCCAGTGGCTAGATCTTGCACATTATCAGACGTAAAGCTCTGGACTGCCTCGAGCATAGGGGCGACTGACAATCCATCACGCCGGTTGTACCGCCGCGCCAAAGCCTGCATTTGCAATCTCTGACTAAATGACGATAAGTCTTCACGCGCAATGCCGATCCATTCAAAGCGCTTTATTTTGAAATCAAAACTGGATGAATCAATTCACAGGCGAAGCTGTTCGAGCTGCAGCAAAGGCAAGAATCGGCGGACACGCTGCCCAGATCTGCGGGACTGCTCGTACAAGGTCCCGTACGTAGGGCAAACCCCACGCGATCCGATATTCGTCCCGGAAGCGCTGAATGGCCTCATCAGAGTCGTAGAGGGGTTCTTCACTGGAGACGGTGGCACCGTGTTGCGGTAAGACACCCCTCTCGTGTGTCAGATCTACGGGCAAGGTGCCGGATCTTGATCGAGAGATATCGGGCCGTCTCCAAGGACCTGAGAAGTGGACCACAAGAGTCAGCTGTTTGTGGGGAAGACGTGCACATTTGGATACCTGAGCCCAAGGATAAATCTCGCCCAAATCTGCCCTGGATATATCCACCGCATCGAGACATGTCGCTGGACGGCGCCGTGTAGCAGCATCACTAACAAGCTCAGCGAAAAAGTTCCCATGACCGGAGCACGCAATATCACCGAGCCAACCAGGATCAAAGAGAGAGCCTCGAACGGCGGCTATGACATAGAACATGGGACGAGCAGGGAGAGTACGAAAATGGCCTTCACGGCGACCGTCGTGGACGACCCCCCAAGGCTCTTTATGATCGGCAATCGCGTGGGCATTGTCAAAAGATGCTCTATCACTATCTGAGTCGGCATCAGCAGAGCCGTGTGCTCTGGAACGTACTAGTATTCCCGGGGCTCCCCTAGATGCATGCTTTGAGTCAGAAATATGAGTCCCGGGCAGCTCAGTCTGCTCGCATGATTCAGAAACAGAAATGGCATATTCATAGAGACAATCTGGTGCCAGGCCATCCACAGCAAAGACTAGAGGGGTGTGGGCACCGGCGTTGTGGCGCAGCCGGCGTTCTTTATGAGCCAGTCGCGGACCAAGCGCGGGGCGACGCACAGAGAGGATAACCGTTGCCGCAGCTGTTAACTCGACAAGAATGCTCACACTGCGAGACGTCACCTCACCAAGAACTGGACCCAAAAGAATGCGCGCAAAGCAGTTGTGTGGTGTGGTTGACGGTGGACCAATACCGCCTCGAATTCTAGGAGTCTTGGGGTGAGCGGTGCAGCGCACAAGTGCGTAACCGACACGTTCTTGTTGCGCAGCGAGACAACTGAGGGAGGGGACCAGGATTTGTGAAGCCCCGTCGTCTTGATTGGTCAATTGAAGAGATGAATGCGCAATAGGGTCCATGAGAGCGTCCAAATGTACTGGGAAATCCGCATTTTCATCTTGCCCGCCTTCTGACAGGGCAACCAATTTAAACGTGCGACCCAAGCAGCGGGCCTGCCATGTCTTCAAAATGGCGAGGAGCGCTCGTTCTGCGGAAACCACCCTGGCACGATCGCCGTGGATAATGGGAGTCTCGGTCATAACTGCGAGAGCACGAATTGTTGGATGCCCGCCATCATGTGCGAGCGAAGTGCCATTAGGCTCAGAATCGTCTGTATCTAGCGAGAGAATTGCGCGGAGCCATCGTCGCGTCTCGCTGGCAAATTTGCCGTCATCTCGTGCCAGGGTGGCCATTTTGATCATGAGAATACCGATACTACCACGCCGGTGGAAGTAGCATCCGTCGTGGTCACGTGCACTGAGCTCGTGTGCAGACGCATCAGCATCGAGACCACGCGACGGTCTTGCGCTGGAAACTTCCAGATTGTTTATGTCAGCCACATCACGCGAATGACATCCATGCAAGGCGGCAGCGTATTCTTGGAGCACGTCGGAACAGACCTACGAGCGTGCGCCTCACTGAATATTTACATTTAGTAGGATGCTTGGCTGCGGGGGTGACCTGAGCAGCCTCAAAGGTCTGACGGGGGTCCTTTCTCATATGTGCATCTTTGGAAATGGCGTAACCTAATGACGCTAAGAGAAGATGGGAGCCGTGCGACAGGGCTGCTCGCGCAGTCGGTTGTGTCCACGCCCGACGGATCGCTGCGCGTGCGACGTTCGCCGCAGTAACTCGTGCAGCATATCTCGCACGACGCGGGTCTGCCGCTGTAGCCTTCGTCACGGAAAGTGCCGATCTCACCGCAGCAAGGACGCTCGCGCCGTCAAACGGCGCGCCAATATGAATGACAAGTTCAACATCAGCTCGTGCCGACCCAAGATCAGCAGCAACGGCGGCCACTGCACCTGATTCAAGTGGTAGCGCACTATCTCTTAAGGTAGTCTCGCGGTGAGAACCACTGGCGCTGGCTGCAGTGTCAGTCCAAGAAGCAAGACGAGCATCGAAGATGCCACTAGCATACGATGACTGCTTCTTCAACCAAGTTACGGAATCTCTGAGCTCTATGAAACGTCGCTCTATGCGGCGAAGACGTGCGTTACGTTTCGAGTACTCCGACCTTGCCTGCTGTAGAAGAGCCCTCTGTGATTCGATCTCGCCTGGAATTGATGGTGGTACTCGTGTTGAAACTCCGGCGACCGTTCCACCCGAGCCGCCATTTTTTCGGCTTCATCAGCCAATTCCTTCGCTTTCATAGCTGCCGAAGCCTCTTTAGCAGCTGCGCTTTCTGACTTGCCCTTCTTGCGCAGACTTTCTATCAGCGCGAGCTCCTCATCAGCTTTATCTATCAGCGGCTCTAGTGTCGTTATAAGCTGCCTTGATGCGTCGACACGCTCCGCAACTTTTTTCAGGCGACCTTCGATGCGGGAGGCTCGGGTGCGTGCAAGGCGCAACGCTTCGCTCTCGTCTCGCCAGAGTCCCAGACCCTCACTGCATAGCGCAAGGAGCGAACAAGCACCAGGCCAATTTGCCTACGGGCTAGGAAATCAAACATCGGCTCGATCACAGTTCAGAGACTCACAGGGGTCTGGAGTGTTCCAGCTACCTTACCAAACACGCCCAGAATCTCGTACCTAGCGATCTGTACCATTTTACTATGATCAGACGTTTTATGGTGTGGAGCGCATGGATATGACTCTGAAAGCTGACCTGTATCGTGTTGCGGCACGCAGACCTCTCAGATGAAGGGCTGATGGGTGCCCTCCTGACACAGAGGCAAAGGCACGCACGACGCCAGGTGAAAGATCCACTTGTTCTTCATCAGTCAGCGTCGGGTGAAGCCAGTTGTGTAGGACAGCATTGGAATCAGTAGCACATTGCTGCCCCTCGCGTTCGTTGACACGCACAGGTGTAGCTTCAATGGCGACATCGGCAGCTGCGTCGACCTCGATGACTATGACCGCGGTGGTCGTCGAAACAGAGCCCACAAGCGGACCAAGAATCAGCTGTGCTTGCACGGCGACGTCTCCTGCAACTGAGCAGTTTGATATTACTGGATTGCTCTGGGTTGTCGCAGTAGAATGTTGCGACACCACGTTGCGTTGTCAAATGTCGCATCGTCGCCGGCTGTTCTGGATGGGCCATGGGTGCAGGTTTGGAAGCAGTGGACGAATCCGTAGTATTCATGTGGATAAACATGCATGCGTTGAGCGATGCTGGTGTCGAAGCATCAGCGCATGCCGCAAACCACGGGGCGTTCCCATTCCCACTGCCGACCAATAGGTGCACAATTGATGGATTTTTCGCGAAGTAAGAAAGCGGTGACATAGCGGATATTTCCTCTGTTGGTGCTGGGCCAGCACTCTCTGCATCATGCTCGATCGTTCCTGACAGTGGCACGTATTCGGTTTCTACGACAGTCATCTGTGGATCTGCACAAAGGCCCACCAAGAGTAAATCACGTTGCGGACGCAAGCCACGCCATCGGAAAAGAGTTCGCAAAATGTGCGATCCCTCTTCTGCGGAGGGGCACACGTTGCGGGCATCGGGTATTGGTAGCCCAGTGACATTGTTCACACCAAAGTTGATACTAGATAAGCTATTTTCAGTGACAGGTGACCATATTGCTCTTGTTTCCAGCGGAGCACCATCATGAACCTCGTTAGGGGTAAACGCGGACGCTTTGTTTGAGCTGTAAATCTGGTTCCATCTGTGGGTCTTGCCCCTTGCGCGCGTCTGAGTGAATGGCATTTGAGAAAACCCATCTTTGAGCCGTGTCGGCATCAGGTCTTTAACATCTCGAGCGTCACCACGATCAACGGACTTAACATCGTCCTGCTTATGCATCGCAGAGAGTTCGCAATAACGGTGCACAGACATGGTTTCAACAGCATCGTCTGAATGCTTCCGCGAAGAAGCCGCGAGAAGCACATTTGACACAATTATGATGCGTCCCGGCGAACTTGGATCCACAGTGCGCTCTGCTTCGTTTAGAAGCTCGACCAGGTGCTCGAGGGCCCAAGCCAGGGAGGTAGCACCATCCCATGCATCATGGAGGCGTAAAACAGTGATAGATCCGAGGGAGGTTACACATAGTGGAGCTGCGAGTGGCTTGCCTGAACAAAAGTTGAAGGTAGAGCAGCGCTGTACTAGGCCTTCTAAGATGTCAAATGTAGCTTTTGTTTGCCATCTCTCGCTATCGAAGGTATGATGATCCCTGGCAAAGCAACTGGGCGCAACGCAGCTGAGATTGTCAATGATTGCGTGTAATGACCTAGACATCGGTAGTCATTTGTGCGTCGACCCTCAGGGACTAACCTGGCTGCATACCCATCGTTGCCACAAAGTTTCCAGCTTGGTGCCGATTGCTTGGCTTCACCATATTCAAGCTGAGAATGTCGGTTTTACGGATACTTTTCGGACAAAGACGCGGGTAACGCACATTCGGTAAGTGTAGGGCTCCTGCGATCATTGCTGCGCTGACGCTCAAGCTGACATCTTGAGGGGCACGTGAGAGCGGATGATGACGGTGATCTGACGCATCATTGCTCTTCACCTCGCAAATTGGTGCGATGGCCAGCGTCTGGTTGAGTAGGAAATGGAGGCGGCATGCGGTCAGTTGCGTCAGGGGCTGGACACCCAATTCAAGTAGAACATCCGAATCGGCCGCAACTGTGAGTAGATTTGGAGTTACAGCTGCCTACAAAGTGGCGCTGCTAACCTTGAGAGTCAAGTATGAACGCTGGCTCGTGGGCGTGATGCCGCACACACGAAATATCGAGACGGGTCCACCCAGAGCAATCAGTGCAACTCGGACTGCACCCTGTTGTCGGCGCCGCGCGTGGGGTCCGAGCCCATCCGGCGGAGCTCCGAACGGAGAGGCTGCAACAAACTCTGAGCCCCAGACCATCTCAGCACGCGATCTATGCGCACCAAGATGGGCCAATCGCTCCCGTGTGAGGCCACTGCTTGATGTTGGAGCAATTGCGATCGTAACATTGTGGCGCTTACCCAATGAAACTCGCGGTAAGGGTAATATTCTTGCACGACCAGGGCGAATCTCGTGTTCTATCACGAGGCCAGCAAGAGCAGCTTGCAGATGAGCATTCTTGCTGCCTATAGCACCATCTGAAGGCTCACTAGGGACCTCCATCCTGCGAGGGGCATTACTTGACCGCTAGAGCCGACCCAAGGCCAGACATTCGACGCTGGTTGGCCTCCCGGGCGCACAGAGCTTGAGCGACAAATTGCGGTCACCAGTGTCTATAGCAATCCGGCGAAGGCCCCGTTCTCCACCGTCGGGGACACATTCCTCAATATGAACCATCAGAACTAATGAATCGCAAACCTCGACGACAATACCGAAGTTACCGCCAATTGGACAGTCGACTACACCTACAATCAAAAGCCACATAACCAAGCGAGTTCTCGATTGTAATGTAGACACAAAAAGATGCCAGCTTCGACATTTGAATTGTCATCTGCAATTGCTCGCTTTGAAATCGCAGTGATGAAAGGAGTTGCGATGAAGGCCATAGTGGCTAGCGAGGATGCACACTGCTGTGCTATCCATGCGTTTCGACTTCCTTTTGCTCCGGCCGATGCGACTGACCATCGAGGCCGGGCGCTGTATAGGGCATTCCGCAGGAAAAGCGAGTTGGCACGACGCTCCCAGAGCTGCACGAGCGCCCGGGTCCGCGACGCAACACCGCATAGGGTCCGGAACTGACAGGGAACTGCGTCCTTGGCAGTCCAAAGCACGAACTCCTCTCGTGTTATTCGAGTTTGAGGCGCGACGTCTTTAGTGTGCCCCCCCCCGCGCATACCGTGGTCAATGCCAATTGTCATTTGCTGGTCATTTTCGCCTTTGCCGCCGCTCCACGGGGGGCTGCTACCCGCGTCGCTACCATCGCTGCTCTCGTTTTCCTCGAGGCTCCTAGCAGCGATATCCTCCGGCGGAACCACATTATCTGCCCGACCGGCGTAGGCAAGCGCAGAGGCAACTGCCAACTCTATAGCAATTCCATCGGTTGAAGCGAGAGCAAGCTGCAATTTTGTAGCAGCACGTGCGACTGTGGAAAGCAAAGAACGCAGCTCATCCCTTTTGAGTGTACCATCTCTGTCGAGATCAAATAAATCGAATACTAATTGCGTCCGATCTTCGTAGGTACCATCCGCCGTTAAGGCGATCGCTACCAGGAGCTCAGTGAGATCAGCTTTGCGAGTGTAAGCCGTTGCGTTGGGCGGCACAGCCGGTACGTCACATCGTCGCGTCAACAATTTCTCTTTAGCTCTCGCAAAAGCGAGGCCGGCGGGACTCGCACGTGGTAAGATGTATTCCCTAAAAACTTTCTGCAAGAATGGAGATGCTGGGCGTTTGAAGAGTGTGATTAATTGACTCAGCGACAACGCAGTCCCGTTTGCCGAAGGGTACGCTTGTAACTGCGCGTCGTAGCGGGCTTTCAGCGCACGCAATTCCCCCACAGTAATTTCTTGCGAGCAATCCCACATCCCAAGCTAGACGGTTCTGCGCCCGTCCATATCGTAATGCAGGGATATATATATCAACCTACTGCCCTTATTTTCCCTTGCAGCTCACTTCCAGGTGTGGACTTCGACGTTCCCTAATTAGAGGTGCCCCTCTCTACACGGTGCGGCCACGCCCGCCCGTGAATACAACTACAGCAGGGAGACGGGCCCATTGGTGGCATCCAGAGTTTCCCCCGCAAGGAAGCTGAGCCCTTCACCAGCATAAGAACGAAGAGGAGAAACCTCAACGCCACCCTTGCCTTGGACAACGGCACCGGCAGCCTGGGCCCATATAGCCCCACGGACAAGTAGGGCGGCACGTGCAGTAATAGGCGTGTCGTCATGGGTCTTGGCAGGATGATTCTTCACCGGGGCGAATTCCTCCTTGCGACTAACGATGAGCGCTGCCTGACGAGATGCCAGCATGAAGGCATCAAAGATGAAGGCTTCAAGCTTTATGGCATTGGGTATAGCGTCAGCTTTGGGTTGCTTCCGGGCACCACGGTAGTCATCATTGTCAGCAAAGGGAATTGCCTTACTTGCAATATGGTATGGAAGCACTCTGGGAGGAGCGGTTGTGGCCAGTGCGAGAAAGTCAGAGCGAAGGAGGTGATTGCATATATTACCCGCGCCGTACAGGAGCTCGCCATGGGCATTAGTAGCATGGGCCAGGATGCTTGGCAACTCTGAATACTCAACGACAGCAGGGCGGCCACCACGCTCGCAAAGGACACCGACACGCTCTGCTGGAGAATTTTTCCAGCAAACTTTCGAGCCAACTGGAACATTCTTGGAGATGCAGTAGCCGATGAAAACCGGATCACAGGGCTTGCAGAGGGCGTTGTCCACGGAGATAACATGAACGTGGCTTACGCCCCGAGCTTCAAGTTGCTGTAACGTACCTGTCTGACTTAGCGCGTGGTATATACCACCGTTTCCATCCGGGGCGAGCGCGAGCTCCGTGCCACTTTGCAGAAACAGCTTGCCATCAGGTGAAAATGCAGGTAAAGTGTCCTGAGAGAAAAACACAACGTTTGATTTCGCCAAACCATAGTACTTAGCAGCCTCGAATGCTTGCTGAGTTTCTTTGATGTTGAGCAAGGACGTCATCACAACAAGCAATGGCTGTGTTCCACAGAGCGTCTCCAACTTGATCAGACGTTCGGCAAGCAAATGGAACAGACATTTTTTAGATGGTAGTTCAACATCAAATAACCCTTTCGGCCCGTCAAAACCCAGGCGTGTTCCTTGACCGCCTGCCATCACAAGTGCTGCCACAGATCCAGATTCGAGAGCTGCTAGGCCTAACTTTCGCCAGGCGTTTAACTGCTTGGCCGTAGCGTCGAGCACACTATCAATCCCATGCACTGGTACCGGTGTGATCTTCGCCGAATCAGCCTTTGCTGCTGCTGATTTATTCGCAGCCTCGTAGATAGCACCGATTCGTCCCAAGTCTAGGGCATCCAATGACGCCAAGAAGGACGCAGCTTCCACGTTGTCTAAATGACCGCGCTCCACGAATCGAAAAACGTGCTCCTGTCCGTGCGCAGCGAAGGCTTCCCGAATTCTCGAAGCGACCCGGGGCTTCATCATACTTGTAGTAATGCTCGATACTTGTAGCCACGACGAGTCACCAAATCGCGTCCATTGACTGTTCGAAATCGCGCGTGCGGGGATTCGGCCAGTCCGAGCTATCGGACACTGAATTGACACTGGCGTAAAATATCATTAGTCCGGAAGAATAGCCTAAAACACAAAAATTAAATGTACTAACCCATTAAATCTAGCGGCCAGCGTAAAAACTCTCACTCTCCCAGTGTGCAAACCAGCCCGATTTAAGGAGCCTGTCAGCAGGAGCATTTAGGCGGCGGCTGGCAGCGTTGGTGCCGTGCTCGGCGCCTCGCTCGGTCTGTGGACCATGTCGCCTCTCGGTCCCCGCAGCGAATCGCTCCGGAAAGGCCATCGGTCGAAGGTGACCAACTTTGTTCGCGTCGGGGCAGCCCGTGGATGACGAGAACGGCCGTAAACGGCGAGCGACGGACGACGGGGGGCCAACTTCGCGCTGGGGTTCGAGCTGGCGGCGCGAGTGCGAGGCCCCACCCCCTCGATTGACCTTCTCGAGCGGCTCGCGAAGGACCGCGCTGCCAGCCTGAAGCATACATTGCGCGGTGAGCACGGCGCCCTTCGTGGCGCTCGCCCCCGTCGGAGGCGGTGAGATGATCTCGATCAAATCGGCTCGAGCCGAAGAGCTGCCCCGAGGACATCTGATGGCCCTCATGACGAACGATTCCCGACGCCCTGTGGCTCGAAGGCGACCGAAACTCGGTCGGGAGGCAGCTGCCGCGCACCATTCCACCCCCTGACGCTGCCCGTTTGCGTCGCCTCGCAATCGTCTGGATGCCGCGTCTTTTCGCAGGTGCCTCGCAGGTGCCTCACCCACATGTTTGCGGACCTCAAAGCCACAGGGATCGTTGCACGTCGCTGCATATTCGCGGAGCGCAAGGCGCTCAAGATGGACATTCCATCGACTTCCGCCAAAACTGGCACGAGCGTTGTCCTGCTGACAGGCCGCAGGGCGACATTGAAGCGGCGTAAATGGATGAAGATTTAACTCTGCGGGTTTTGCCGGCGGCCGGCTCGCTATCCGGTTTGATGGTCGATGAGGGAGGAATGAGATTGACAGTATTCTTGCCAATAGGTATTTCCACAGTTGCAGTGACTCCGTGGTAGCATCTTAACTGCAACTGCAAGCGAGTTGTGGTCCACAACCCGCTTAGGGTTCCTAGGATATGTCTCGTATCATGCATAGGTTTATTCAGCGAATGCAAGTGTTATTACCGCGCCAGAATCGGGAAGTTCGGTGAAAAGTTTTGGGTCGTTTCCTTTCCAGTCGGGACACGAGTACTTAGGAATATCTGAACCATCGTCCAGGACAGTTGTCTCTTTGAGTATCCCTTTCATTTGGTTTTGCAGTGTGTCATATGCTGCTCTCCCAAATAGAATGGCCTGTGTGCCTATATACACGAAATAATGACCTCTTCCACCAGGCTGTGGCATACTCTTGACTTTGCTTTATGAATTACTACCATAAATCAGATTTTGCTGGGGGAAATGGGGGGCGTATTGGCATGACCTTGTCACCGAGGTTAATAAGGAGAAATACCCCAAACTAGGGTAATGAGGGAGGTTGAGGTCTACGTTACGGGAGAGTGCAGTGTCATTTCCATGGTCCTGAGCAACTAGGGTGTACAGCTTCTCAATAAAGGTAAGAAAATGACCACCAAGTTCATACTGATCAACCTTGGTACCATCATCGGAACCAGTTCGAGCTGTCGAAGCGCTACTGGCCATCGAGTCGTCGAAGCGACGGCCATCACTTAGAATTGTCAACACACCCGCGTCCAGGCTAAACCCAGCGACTAAACCTCGCTTGATCTCTAGGTGATCTCGTCCCGAGACACAACATCCGCCGATGCGCTTGGTAGGCGATCCAACGCCACCGATTTCTCCTGACATCCCGACCACAATAGTCCCAGTCAAGAAAATTAGGTCTTGATGTAGGTTGTGCTCTCTTTGACGATCTTCCTGGGGTTGCGACGGTAGCCGCGGTCTTTTTCGCCCTGTAAACAGAAATATTAGTTGGGCTTGCGACGAGAAGAAAAAAACGAAACGAACCTCACCATCTGCAAATTCCTTGTCCCACTTCGCCCATGCCTCCTTGCCTGCCATTTTCTCGGCGATGTGATGCCGCTTGATGTAGTCCCTGACGGCACCAGGCACCTTTGGTGTGATAGCATCTAACCTGCCAGTGATGAGGGCCTGTCGAAGTTTACTTGATGAAGTAGATTCAAGATCAGCACTCAGAAGAGCGTTGTCTTCCACGACATGGGCAACATGTCGCCATCTCGTCCCCATCTGGGCCAGGAGCCGTTCGTGCTCCTGAGGACGGCAGACTGTAATGCACTCGTGGCCTGCGTCTCGGAGCTCCTCAAGGTTGAGACGTAGTAATTGGTCTGGTGCGACCAGGAGAACGAAACGGACAGGCAGTGTGAGCTCTGGAAAGCGCTGCTCGAATAGCTGACGCACATGATCTAATGTGCTGAGGTAGTCGAGGATTCGCCGTCGCGTAATCTCCCAACTATCTACAGTCAGCCACGGAGAGCCACCAACAGCGGCGCGCGCCATGGCGAGTCGGTGTCTAGGTGGGATAATTTCCCTTGGCCTAGTCCTGCAACGTTGTCGGACTTCGGTTGCGTGCTTAGGGATAAGAAGCCCACCGAGCACGCTGAAACGCGTCCTTTCTTCAAGATATTGACGCGCGATGACGAAATGTCGCAGGTGCATCTTATGAATTGGGTTATACTTGCCTCTTCCCACGAGAATTACTTTGGGTCGCGATGTCTCTGTCGAAAAAAGTTCTGCAACTCGCTGCGCTAAGTGATGGCATACATTCTCAATGACAGGCACACCGGCAGTTGGTGACTCTGAAATTTTAATCTTTGGCGCAGCCTTCCACCGGTCGCCAACGTCTGAGTGCATAGCGGCAGGCTTATGCTCGAAGAGGTTACTATTTGCATGCGTGACTCGAGAGTGGTGAATGTCAGACTGGCCTGCTTCTCCCTCGGCGATGTTCCGGCGCTGCTTATGTAACAAACNGTGAGTGGTTCTCACATGACATCGAGCCAGGAATCAATGGCAGGTTAATCCTTGTGGTGGACAACGACGAATCATCAACCTGACCATGAGGAGTCTCATCCCA